AGGAGGGAAGGAGGTAGAAGGAAGGAGGGAAGTAGGTTGAAGAGAGGGAATGTGTTCCTGTGAGGCTACTGAGCATCTTAGAATGGGAGGTTTTTTTAGTTTGTTTTTTTATTAATTGTATTATTGACTTATGCCATAATTGTATGTTTGTTTATTTCGGGGGGGAAAAAAAATCAATAAAGTTTGTTTATAAAAAAAATAAAAATAAATTGTCATATGTTGAGGATTACCTGTAATTGGTCCCTCCCCCACCCATTTTTCAAGGGAACCAAAGAATTGTGGCTATTGGTTCTTTATTTTTCAGCGCCTCAGAGATCTGGGTGGGACCTAAAGGAGTGCTTGTAACAAAAACAGATTGTGTCGATTAACAATGTTGCAGACAGAGAGGGCTTAGAGTTCAACAATTATAGATTTCACCTTTTAAAAATTAAATCAAACTTAAAAAATAAGGGCATGCAGGACATGGAATCTGATGAAAAAGAGACATTAATTGGATTATATGCCCTCAGGACATTTTAAACTCCTAGTAACCACATGAAGTTCATGTAGCATGCCCTTGTTTGTGTTATGCATGAATCTGGCTAAACCAATCTTTTCCTGCTTGCTAGGTGAGAAAAGTAGGAATTTTTTTTCTGGCCAGCTTGTGGGAGGACAGCACTCCCCCCCAGAAAGTAATATTTGGGGGGATATTAAAAAGGCAGAATATATTTCCCCAAAGGATCATAAAGACAGAAAAAGTGGCCCAGTTTTTCTTAATAGTCCCAAGCAGAAATTCAGCAGAAACCAGCTCTGTAGAAATGTAGATTTGGTGATTCATTCAGGAAGACTAGGGCCAGGAAGCTTAGAGCTGATGAGATTAGAAAGACAAAGACTCCTAAAATCTACATCCTCTGCCCAAACTTTAAAGACATGACTTTTAGGCAGTGGTGGGATTCAAATATGTGAACAACCAGTTCTCTGTGTGGATACCGCTTCCGGAAGTCCATTGTGGGCCTAGGCAACAAAAAATTAGCTACCGGTTCTGTCGAACTGGTGCGAACTGGCTGAATCACACCACTGCCTTTAGAATACCAAAAGGGCACACTGAACCTTAGGTCAAAGTTCATGCCACAGGAACAACTCCAAACACAAAAGCCCAAAAAGGTATAAAAACCCACCACTCCCAGCAACATGTAGTCAGCTTTCCCAGAGGCACATTTCTGTCTGGCTCTGCTCTTCAATAAACTACAACCTTATTTTTAAAGCAGTCTCCATTTTGCTTATTCCCAGCTTGGACTGGATCCTGATGAAGATTTTTCTTTCAACAAGCTGAAAGAACAATTGCTACTTAACAAGGGAGCAATTATTGTGTTTTTAATTTGCTAAGATTCCATAAAGAGAACAGGATGAAAAAGGAAGACTCCAGGTGATTAAAAAGCATTGCAAGGGTCTACAACCAGATAATTAGCAGAACTTGCACTTTGTTTATGTGCTTGTTTTTTATTTTAAAAAAATAGCATTCCCATAGAGCTGTAATGCATTGCAATTTAGCAAATAGCCTGGCCTATTGCTATTCTTCTAAAAAAAAAGTTTATCAGCGTGGTGCTCAGCATTATCATCTACTAATTGCTATGAGAGCATGTTCAAAAACTACTAACATTAGGTATAGTTTTAGGCTGGGATAGTTTTTAATATAGAGAAATGTGGATATATAATCGTATTAAGAATTTTGATCACAATAAAATTCAGTACACTAAACTTAAAGAAAAAAATAATAGAAATAAAGGCTAAATGAAAAAGAAAAAAGGAAAAGAAAGAAAAAAAGAATGTGTCAACATACAAATATATATATATATATATATATATATATATATATATATATATATATATATATATATATATATATATATATACACACACACACACACACACAAATGTAGTAATTCTTCACCCTCTCTAAAGTTACAAACAATTATTCCATATTGCCTGCCTTATCTATAGGGAAGTCCATAAAGCGGATATGCCTATAAGTTTGGATTGCCGGAAGTAACCCTGTTTTAAATTTGATAAACCAACTTTACCTTCCTACCTTTTACTTTTAACAGTTTTCATCTTCAAATATTGTGGAATGGTTTGATTTCATTTCTTCTTTGTCACATTGCACACAGTTTTTTAAGTTTCTTTTGTAAATTCAATAGGAAAAAAAAATAAGCCAGCTCACTCTCTCGGTTTATCGTTTGTATTTTCCATTTAAACAGTGGTGGGATTCAGCCGGTTCGCACCACTTCGGCAGAACCGGTAGCTAATGTTTTGTTGCCCAGGCCCAGAATGAACTTCTGGAAGCAGCATCCACACAGAGAACCAGTTATTCACATATTTGAATCCTACCACTGCATTTAAATTTTAAAAGGAAAAAGTAATTAGCCAGTTTATTTTGTAGATCCAATTAAGAATCCTTTTCTAAGACATTCTCTTGGCCTTTAGTATCTTCTTTTGATACAGTAACTATCTGGTAAAAAAAATTGTTCTATGTTTGTAATATCTTTTGGACATAATCTATCCATTCTGACATTGTTGATATGGTGGATGCTAATTTCTCACTTCATTCTTGAAGTTTTCTTCAGTATTTTCAGTGTTATGACATTTTGCATTTTATAGGCTTCCATTTTCCCCCCATTACCTAAATATTTACTTCCATCTAGTGTCCATTTTTTAAATCATGAAATTATTTATCTCTGCTATATTTTCCAAAAACCAAAACAGATCTATTTCCCACAAGAAGCTGTTTGTTCTATATACATAATTCCAAAATCTTATTGTAAAAGTTTCAGTATTCCAAATTCAGCTAGACTCGTAGTCCATTTATAATTTTCTAAGATCATATTTGGCTTTTTGCTATTTCAGATTCTTTAAATTTTTAAGGTCATGATTAATTTTTTCATTCATTCAGGATGACTCACCTAGCATTTTGAAACTTGTTCCAAAGGTGTCTAATAGCTTAGAAGTACTGCAGTTAGCTAGCAATTTCTGAAAATGAATAGAAAGTGAGGTTGGTGAACTTAGTGTCCTTTAAAAGGTTCCTCCGTGGTTGTGAGCAAGGTGGTGAATCCTGTCATCTTCTGACACTGTAACCCACAGAAAACCACTGTTCTGTGTATTTATATGAGGAGAAGCTGTTGGGGGCACATGTGAGCAGTCTCCCATCCTTTCCTTATCAAGACAGGGTCCCTTGAAAGTTTTAAATATACAGACATGAATGATTTCAAAAGGCCTTCTCAGGCAAGTGAGCTAAAGCATGTTTAAGCAGAAGTCAGTCTGTACTATAGTTAATTCCTAATATGTCTAAATAGAATGACTACCAGGATGCCTGCAAGGTATTGCCAGAAATGTGAAGCTGACAGCTCAGCTGTTTTTCATGTGTGTAACCCTGTAGATAACTGCGCCACTTCATCTAGTGCCAAATGGATGTTCAATTGCAATAGTCCTTTCTAAATGGGTCGTGGTTATCCCTACTCTACTAATTGATATATGTTCATTTTTGCTAGTTATCTTCTTGTTTACTGATCGATTGATTTAGTGCTAGAATGATAGACCTGATTTGTAGGCCCACACTAAATTGTATGCTGACTATAGAGCAAAAGGATCCTCAGTTTTCCTTTTCTGAAGCCAGGATCCAGCTAAGGATACTGTTGTGTTTTCGGTTCGCTAGCAATTGACGAAGATGCATGGTGAAAACAACAAGCTCTTTATTACTCACTCCTACAACCAAGCAAACAGCAAAAGGCACGCAGGCCTTTTATAGTGCCTGAAACCCGGACAGTGTGAACCAATAGGAATTTACCCTTTTTGCGCCTTGCGCATGCACACAAAGCTGGCGCCACTCTGTCTGGTCCCAGGCAGCTTTTAGATTGCCTGGGACCATTTGCAACATTCTGAGCCTGCTTTGAGCTCTTGCAGGCTCAGGACACAACATCCCTCCCCCCTAGATGAAACACACCTAGTTTATGCACAGGTGCGTTGTGCAATGCAGGGAGAGTGGAACACAGATGCATTATTCAAATGCAAGGAGGGTGGAAATGCTCAGTCTGCACGCAGGCAAACACCTTTCAAAATAATTATTAACTGGAATAAATGTATCCAAAATCATAATAATATATGATACTCTTACTAAGTGTTAATCCCCTCATTTAGGGACCTTCTAGCAAGGTTCCTCATGTGTTGACAGCAACCTCACATAATCTCATAGATGTTTAGGTGGGCACTTGCCCTGCTGCGACCTTCTAAGGGCCAAGCTGCTCGCCTACCAGGCTAGGCAGGCCAGGGCTTTGATGCCCTAAATACCCAGGTGACCCTGGTGGGGTGCCTGGCTACCTGCTCACCTACCAGGCTAGGCAGGCCAGGACTTTGACGCCCCAAATACCCAGGTGCCCCACCCAGCTGCTGACTTGCTGGACCCTCTGAGTCCAAGCCAGTGTACCTTGGAGGGGTGGAAGTCCCCGAGTCCACAATGGACTCCTCTTGGGAACACTGTCCTTCGAGCCCAAGGCCAGCAGTTGGAGAGGCCTGAGTGGCGGAAGTGCCCCAGTACTCCATAGCCCCCATGCACGTGCCAGAGGTGCCAGAGTCAGGAGCCGCCTCCATGGCAAACCCCCTTGCTACTGACTTCCTTTTCCGAGCAATAGCTGAATTATGAGAGTGCCCCTGATGGAATTCCCTTTCTATGGCTATGTTTGAATAATGTGGATACCCCCGGTTTGTCTCCTTGTCTGGAGCTCTATCTGACATGTTTGAATAATGTGGATACCTCCGGTGTGACTCCCTGTCTGGAGCAATAACGGATGCGTGGGGTGACCCCCCCCCTTCCTGGGAATTTCTGCTTGGTGCACTTGCGGAAACTTGTGATGACCCCCAAACAGCCTCTTCAGCTTGTGAGGCCCTGTTAGACCTCGGAATCTGTGACCCAGCATCCATATTCTGGTTCTCCTCCCCCACCCCCCAGAGCAGAGCCAGGAGCGGAAATGTGGCTGTCCAGTCTCCAATGCAGTTGGTCTATGTGTCTGCGAAGAACGCGGCCATCATCCAAGGCAACTTTGTATGACAGTGGCCCAGAGACCTTGCAGACCACTGCTGTGACCCAGAGATGTCCAGGCCCATAGTTCCTTGCCCAAACCGGATCGCCCACCTGAAGTCTCCTAGGTGCCCGCAGTTGTGACACCTGGGAAGCCACCCAGTCGGGGTGCAACCTGTCCAATTTGGTGATGAGGCGGCGACCCCAGTGGAGTTCTGCAGGGCTCTTCCCTGTGGCTGTGCAAGGTGTGGTACGGTGTGCAAGAGGGAAATCTGCTAACCTGTGATGCCAGTTACCGTAAGTCAGTTTCTTGAGAGCATCTTTGGTAATGCGCACCATTCTCTCTGCCTGTCCGTTGGAGAATGGGTGGAAGGGAGCAGAAGTCGCATGCCAGATCAAGTTGGCCTGAAGAACAGCCTGGAACTCAAAAGAGCTAAATTGAGGGCCATTATCAGAAACCAGGACATCTGGAAGCGAGGCAAAAATTCCTCTCAACACCTGGATGGTCCTGGCAGTAGTAGTGGAGGAAACAGGAACAACCTCTTGCCATTTGGAATGGCTGTCAACAATGAGAAGGAAGAATTGCCCCTGAAAGGGCCCAGCATAATCTATATACACCCGTGACCATGGGGTTTGAGTTTCCTCCCACCTATGTACTGGGGCCTGAGGCATTTCAGGCCGTGACTGTTGGCAAAGTTGGCGCCCATGCACCTGAGCTTCGATGGCTTTATCGAGCCCAGGCCACCAAAGATGGCTGCGCGCAAGAGCTTTCATCCTTACTATACCAGGATGTCCCTCATGCAGAGAGAGCAAGATTCTAGACCTCAATGAGGCTGGGATTACTACCCTACTACCCCATAACAGGCACCCCTTGAAAGTAGAAAGTTCATGCTTCCTTTGCCAGAAGCTTTGAAACTCAGTATTTGGGCACGTGTCAGGCCATCCTGACAACACCCAGGTCAGCACGCGTGTAAGCGTGTGATCAGTGGCAGTTTCTGCAGCCACATTCCTAGCATTTAGGGGAGATTCAGGCAACTCCTGAATGGAAAGAATATTAATGGCAGGAGCAGGATCTGCCTCTATCTGTTTAAGAGGTAGTCTACTGAGGCCATCAGCATGGCCCATTTCTTTTCCAGGTTTATGAATTAGAGTGTAGTCATATGCTGACAGGAAAATAGACCATCTCAGCATAGTGGGGAAATAATATGTGGTGTCTGTTTGTTAGTGGTAAACAAACCCAGCAGAGGCTTATGGTCTGTGTAGACCGCGAAGTGGCAGCCATATAAGAAATCATGGAATTTCTTTATGCCAGCCACTATGGCCAAGGCTTCTCTGTCAATCTGAGCATAATTCCGCTCTGCAGATGACAGAGTCCTTGAGTAGTAGGCCACAGGGACTTGTGTCCCATCAGCCTTCAAATGGCTAAGTACTGCTCCCACCCCATAAGGAGATGCATCGCAATTGCTCATTGAAATGCGCTAACACAGCATTTGAAGAGAGCAAGGCCTTAACCTCATTGAAACTTCTTTCATGGACGTTAGTCCACTGCCATTGAGCCTGCTTGTCTAAGAGCCGGTGTAACGGCTCAGCCACTGCAGCCTTGTGGGGAAGGAAGGCATGATAAAAATTTAAGAGTCCCAAGAAAGCTTGCAGCTCGCTTTTGGACTTGGGACTTGGGGCCTGCTGAATAGCTTGGAGCTTAGATTCAGCAGGATGGATGCCTTGAGCATCAATTCTGAAACCCAAGAATTCAGTGGAAGTGACTCCAATTTTGCATTTATCTGGCTTCAGT